AATTTCTAATTGACAGATATTTGTTGAATTTTGAGGCAGACTTATTCAATAAATTGTCGGCATCCTTATGAAATTGCTCCTCTCCTTATTTTCAGATGATTCCGAGTTCTATCAAACACTTGTCAAGAACAAGAAGATCAAAAAGGCCAGATCATTTAATTACACATTCAGATATATCAGCACAAAAAGGCTATATCTCTGCTAGAGCTATTCTAAATATTATAACAAGACGTTTTTTTTTTTTTTTTTAAGTTTTCAATTATTGCAAATATTACAAATACAAATTATCAATAAGATAACATGATAAAAACTTAAAATCATTTTAAACTAATACAACAAATTCACATTTAAGAATACATTCCCATTTCCTTTAAAAAAGGAAACAATTGTCGCAAAACAATTATTATGTACATTAGAAATGTTTTTCCTGGATCTCGGAAAAGTCTTTACACATAAAATATGTGTTATTGTATATTTGCAATCGCAGATATACATTCTGGTTGAATTTCGTTTTTTAAAAAGATACTTGCGTGTTATTCTAGTATGACGGATAGGGCATCCTGATGGTACTGAATTAAATATTATATGTTCTGAAGTTGTTTATAATCTTAATAACGTATTATATTGTTCTTTTTATTTGTCTTTGTACATTTTTAAACTTGACTGTTTAGTCCTTTTTTCGGGGTTATATCATTTTTGGGAGGCTCGGTATTTATACATTCCGTTAATATATTCTCGTCTTTCAATTTTGCTGTTGTGTTTTGTCTACCGAATGTCTGTATGCCATTTTACTTTTCTTTGTTGACATAGTTAATGTAATGATTAGGATTATAACTCAATGTTGACTGCACCCAAACTTTTTACATTTGTATCTATTATAACTGAAGTGTAAACAACTCGTGGTTTTTTTTTTACCGTACTTTATTGATTATGGTTTATTATACATCGACTTTACATATTCAATCCGCAATAATTTCCTCTCTCAAGTAACTGAAAGTATATTTACTTTCTTAAAGTGGGAAAACATGTTATATCTTCCTTGTGACCCGACATTGATCTTCCTGTTTATTTGAATATTTCTTTTTCAAAAACCACTTTTAAAAAGAGTAGACAAATACCAAGAAAACGTTGAAAACTGAAAGTTAAACTTTACATTACATTACATTACGTTAAGTATTACGTGTTTATGCTTCTGACATGACATTTAGAGTTAAATGAGGCTTTTTGTTTGTTGTCCTTTTGAATATAATAACGTTGCTTTAGAGAGCTCATACATTCATACAAGTTGCATTTGATATGGTAAGACAACCTTTTGTGATGGTCAAAATAACGGTGATTATTTCATTACAATTTGAATGGTAAGGATTTATATAGCACACATACATTGTATCTTGATATGATGAAGAGAAAAGAAACATTCTTATTCAGACACAGTTTAAAGAAGAATTTATTCCTCGTTGACTATGCATAAAAGTTTTGTAAATTGTTTTAGTCTCATTTTCAAACAATTTATGAAACGATACCCTGTTACTAGTTTATCACATGTGCGTTCTAGCTGTAGCGTGTTTACCTTGTCGGTATAATGGTTGCGTGCTCGCTTCGAATATGATATTCCGTTATCAATCCCCGGCCGATTCAAACACGCTATTTCTTGTTCAAAGCGAACATTATAAAGATATAGGTTTCTTAGCTTAGCACGCAACATTAATGAGTGAGAACACATATTGGTCGGTTCTTTTACGAATAATGTGTCCAAGTAGGATTGATTGGTTGGGGATTGCTTTACGCCGCATCAGCACAAAAAGGCTATATCGCAGCGTAAGCTGTTTTAAATATTACAACAACAGGAACTGCATTCTTTTCCTGATATCACTTCCAATTATTGGTGTTGTTCGTGTTTCTCGATATTTAATTTTCTGAGTTGTCTTTTGTAGACTATTGTTTGTTTAAACGTCGTTGGCTTTTACAATGGTGGTGTCAGTTAGTCTGTGACTTACGAGTGTTTATATCCCTTTGCCTTCTTGCCTCTCTTCCTTAATGTAATAACTAACAAAACTATAGGTGATAAAACATTAAATATCGAGTCATTGTGACTGGGGAATAGAAATATGGTCACTACAGGTCTTCTTCCGACCGGCAGTTAAATCCTGTCCAAAGTGGGGCGTCCGTTTGGTTGTGCGGCATGAATCAAATACGCAGCCACGTCCGGTCAGAATGGGGACCCTAAATCCGATGCCTCGTGTAGAGAGTGTGTCATGGTCTCTGCACGTTAAGAACCATTGTAACAACTCTTTGGGGGGTCCGTAGGTGACCTGTTGCAAGGAAAAATTGCTGTTCCTTTCCAATATGCCCTCATTTCCCGTGGCAGTCTAAATTTCTCCGACCTTAATCCCGGACGCCCCTATTACAGAACTTACCTATTGTATTTGTTGTTAATTTGTTCTCGTACTGAATATGTATGAAATATTTGCCACTGGACGTTAAGCAACCAACAATCAATCAATTGATTATCGTTTATTATACACCGACTTTAAATATTCAATCCGCAATAATTTCCTCTCTCAAGTAATTGAAAGTATATTTACTTTCTTAAAGTGGGAAAATATGTTATATCTTCCTTGTGACCCGGCATTGACCTTCCTGTTTATAAGAATATTTCATTTTCCAAAATCGTATTTTAAAAAGAGTTGAAAGATATCAAGGAAACGCTGAAAACTGAAAGTTAAATCTTTAACTTAATGAAATTTGCAATGCCATTGCAAAAAAGAACAAAAAGACAAAAAAAACTTTGCAATATACTACATAGAAAGCCTAAGACTAAAAAACGCGAACCCCTACAATAACTCGGATAATATCAGGTGCTTAGAATTGGTTAAAAGATCATTCTCTAATTGAATTCTGAATTCGATATTGAAATTGAAACTAACATTCATTTATATCATACATCATTTGTTCACAATGATTAAGATTTGTTTGAGTAAATATATATATATATATATATGACGAAAACGTTAAACTCAATGACGCTAGCGTATAATGCATGTTGAGGAGACACAAACATAATAAAAATAAATAAGTCGGATCTGCAAAATGGGTCGAAGGGAATAAAGGTGGACAATTCAAATTGTCAATGGAAAAATAGGTTATGTTTGATTAAAGCATAATGTGTGTGTCCTGCAGCAATCAATGGTGTACCCCACACAGTGATAATGCTAGATATATTTACCATGCATGCAGAGCTTCACTCACTATAAAAGGCATCGGAACATATGTGGTAACGGTAGACTAATAGAAATTTCAATTAGTGTAAAACTATTCATCCTTAAGGACCTAAAGAACAGAATAGGATATTCTGACAAAATGTAAGATATTGGCACCTTTTGTTGATGTCAACAAATAATCCATTTGTATCTATAAAAGTAATAAATTACAAGGCCAGTACAAGAATATAAAAAGTTATTTTCAATTGCAATTTTTTATGTTGCAAAAAATACTAAATGAATGGCTATCGCTTCACACAAAATTTTGATAACAAATATACTAAGTTTATATGCATATAATGCAAAACTGTATGTAGATGTAAACATGATATTTAAGATAACATCAGGCGTAATAGGTCAACTGTTAACATTCTTTACGGCAAATTTATCGTGGTCAGGCTGCAAAAGATATTATGAATCTGTAAGTTTTGATTTTGGACCATGTAATCGTTTAAAAGTCCATGTCTTAATGACAAAGGCTATAAGCTTCCGGAAGAAATATCTTTTCTTACTTATGTACAGTTTTGAATTTTCAATTAATTTAATACGTGTCACATCATGCATTGTAATCGTTAATTTATATAAATGTCGAAAATGTGCAGTAAGACATTTTTATGTGGCTAGTCATGTGATATGATAGTCAGAGTATACAGAATACCATCACAATATATGTTAACGCCCGTTTACTAAAAACAGTAAACGTGCGATAACTTTTCACAAATTTACTGTTGCCTTTATTAAATAAAGAAGAAGACGCGCCGTTTTCACGTTAACCCCGAAAAGAAAAACGAGAAAGCAAACGCCAGTATAGCCTTCACAAAATTAGAAATCGCCCCTTTTTCGCATAAACGCAGAGGTTAAACGCCAGTTTACTTTTATGTCTACTGGAATTTTGGAGTTAAGGATGTTCGCTTGTCGTGTTTTGGAATTTTTGTCAGATTTTCAGAATCCTCTGGTTTTATCCATTTGAATGCCTTAAACCATTTGGCCAACTAACCCCCATTTTTCTTTTTATAAATCTTGGTACATGTATAATTTTAAGCCATCTGTAAAAGTCTTATAAAATCTTTGTTATTTTTTAATAGTGTTTGAGAACTTAAACTTGTCAATGATAAAGCTATGAAAAATCAAGAGAGAACATTTTCCCGCCAAAATTTCAATAGCTAATATCTCGAAAACAAGCACACGGACCTATATTTTTTCGCTCTTTTGGTTCCTTTATTAATCCCCTATCAATATATACTAGTGCTATGAAAAGCTTGTTATTTTGAAACTGAGTAGCGAACTTCCTTAATGCAGAGTAAACGCCGCATATTTTGCGAACTTCCTTAATGCAGAGTAAACGCAGCATATTTTGTCCAGTCCGTCTACATGTAATATTTGGTCTGCACCCAACGGAAAACACAAACACATTGCCAAATGACAATGAACGGCAATAAATAGGGCACAATTACTTCACATATAACTTAAGATATGATTTAACCTGCTGGAACAGATCAACTGAACTATGTTTTAGTAAATGCCAGAAATGACGTAGACTATAATCATTGATAAATGTTTTACTTTCCAAACTACATTCAACTAATTAGTTTTTTTAACCGTATGGAAACCTTTCACATACATTTTTTTCTCTGTAAATATGTTTTGCCTTTTGTTGCAAGGCACACACTAATCGTAACCACGTGACATGAGAAGAAAATATTAAATGAGATGCAGAATGGGTAAAAAAGATCAGAATACTTTATTTGTTAAATGACTTTTGTCATCAACCGTTTATTGATAATTAAGAATTCACAAATGCTATTTCTACTCTAGGCGAGAATAAAATTACCTTTTTCTCCGCTAAACTATAAAATGTGTTTAATAAAAATAAATAACAGAGTACGATTGTCAAATAATAGGAAGAAAACAATTAAGCAAATGCTCAATGTTCACAATAAAAATTCAAATTAAATGTATCTCTTAACATACGAAATTATTAGACAGATCCTTTTCTGATCATCTTCATATTACAGGTACTTTAATAAACAAATTTTAAACGATTTTGGATAGGGTGGTATATTTTTGCATTAATTGTATGTTCTAACTTTCTTTAATTTTTCATTTTTGTGATATATATTCGTATTAATTTCATTGGCGCAATGCTTCGTCAATTTTGTCCCAGAATACTACATTCCCTTGTTGATCATTTGGATATTCAATATACGAGTCCTTTTGTACAAGTTCCAACAACACAAGGGGCATATTTTGCGGTAGAATTTGCTCTACAAAGATCAGAAAAATAATGTTCCTTTTGTCCCTTGAATAGATACTTTCCATTCGGGCCATATTAAACTCGAACATACAATAATAGGAATCAAAAAATTGTTTCGTTAGAATGCATATAGTCTTTCTGCTTTCATGTATTGCATTTGTAATATTAGTCGTAATTTCTTCACCTGGTATAAAGTCGCGTTGATGTACACATAGTTTGAAGTTTCTTTCCATTTCTAAATTTTTAATGCAATCATTTATGACAAAGGACTTGTCGTGTTCACAGTAAGAAATAAAAGCATCATACACATACTGTTTATCATCAGTGCTTGCTTTATGTCTGTGATGTTTGCTTTTAGCAAGGTAAAACATATAACGAAGTTTCCATCTGTATTTATAAACAACAGCAACAGCGATACAAATCAGAGTAGCCACCAGAACAATTGAAGCGATGATGATGAAACTGGTATATGCTATGCACTCTTTTTCTAACTTCGGAATAATTTTATTTGTAGAAAGGAATCTTACGACAGTTCCATCTTCCGACACACATCGGCGATCAAAGAATACATTAACACGAGTTACGACTATCCATTTCCAAAATAGCAATGTTTTGCATGTGCATTCTAATGAATTATTCAATAAAAAAATCGAAAGGTTAGAATTGAGAGAAAGATGATCAAACATTTTCATTGATTTCTGATTAAAACCTGAGATAAAATTGTTAGATAAAACTAAATATTTTAGATAATTTGCCTGTGACACGTCAAATAACACTTCTTGCAAATAGTTATGACTTAAATTGATATATCTTAGCTCTGGATGACCATGGAATATTGAAGACTTCAATTTGTAAATACGATTCATAGATATATCAATATATTTGAGTTTGGAATTTCTTTTTATGTGTTTGTTAAAAGTTTTAAAACGGAGAAAATTCCCAAGATGGTTGTCTCGTAATATTAGTTTCTGTATATTTGTCAATTCCAATTCGAACTGGTCAAGTTTATTACTTGACAGGTTTAATGTTAGAAATGATGGCGGGGCTGGTTCAATTTTGGATAATGGAAATAAACTCACTGGGTTGTTTCCTGTAAGTTGCAAATTTTGTACTGATGAACCATTTAAACCAGATGCCAGTGCAGTCCATGTGTAATATGGTTTTTCTCTTCCATGAAAAAATGTATTTTTGAAAACAATTGTCTGGACAGGTGTCAGCTTCAATTCCATAGTTGCATGAACAATTGAAAAAACATCATACTGTGAGAAAAAATGCATTTCTATTTTATGCAGTTTTTGCAAACAATGGTGTGCTCCAGGTAAGATTAATATCTCACAAATTATGTCAAAGTATATGTTCTTCAAGTAAACAAGATGAGAAAAAGTGTCGTTTTTTATCCCAAAAACTAAGCATGTACCAATTTTAAGGGTTTCAAGATGTACTAAAGAGTCAAAACTTTTACCGAAAATGACTTTGTATGGAGTTATTAATGGAATATCTATTTCTAATGATTCGAGCAATTTCAAGTTTGATAGCGCTACTTCTGGTAGTAAAGTTCCAATTGGAGAAGTAAATCTAATACATATATGTTTCAGGGAAATCAACGATTTAAAAACTTCACTAGGAATTGCACGTTCAGTGTACGGTAAGGGGTTGTTATTAAGATTTAAGATTAGAAGATTCGACAATCCGTTGAAAGAAAATCTATTGAGACGTTTGATTTTGTTATACGATAAATCCAATTCAGAAAGATTTCTTAAAAGACTAAACTGGTAATCGTTTATCACTTTAATATTGTTCTTTTTCAAACTCAAAGTATACACATTTGCTGGTAAATCTGGTACATCCTGCAATCTTCTATTTGAACAATCGACATTCAGCATCACCTCACTACCCATTTCAGCATGTTGTGGAATATTTGTGCAGCGACATTTTTCATTGAAATCACAAGGTAACGAAATCGCCAGGACAACATATTGGCATATACAAAGAACAATTACCAAATGTTTTAAAGTAATTTTTGAAGCCATCAAGTTCCGTATGGAATTCTACAATCAGAAATTAAGATAAAAAATGGTATCATGTCATATTAAAATGTAGTTTTAAAATTGAAAATGGAAATGGGGAATGTGTCAAAGAGATCAACAACCCGACCAAAGAGCAGAAAACAGCCGAAGGCCACCAATGTGTCTTCAACACAGCGAGAAAATCCCGCACTGGAGGCATTTATTTATTTAAATGTGTATTATAAATGTTCAACAATGGTAGGTAACTACATTTTTCAAGGATGGCTTGTCAAATAAGAATGAGAGTGTTTGTTATGGCAAACAAAAAAATCTATTAACTGGACATGATTGGATGTTTTGAAAGAAAAGGGGGCACAAGCTAGAAAATATCACACTTTTACATAGTCTTTCATAACTATTGCATATGTCGTCTAATCGTAGGTTCACAGCTCTGATCCGCCAATTATTAAGGTAACGGAAATTTATATAGATTTGTTTAATTCACTCCAGGTTTTTCGTAAAATAAAAAGCTCACATTGAGGTTATCTCATTAACTTTAAACACTATATTTTGATTGTCAAACACATTCACCACTAAATTCGGTATTACATAAATTTATAGCCAATATTTGTTACAAAAAAACCCACAAACTTGGCTATTTAAGTAACTCATATCATATGGTGCCTATGATGAATGCAACTACGTCATCTTGTATGGAAATGAAGAACATTACCATAATTGTTTTTTTTTGTGTCCTTATTTGAATCTTCTCCAAGTGATTCATTGACTGATGTTTTGCTTATAACATTTCGGAAAAATTATGATCATTTAGTATCGGAATTGTAAGATGTATGTTAAACACTCCCTTTTATTGTCCAAAGGCAAATATTTCATGCATTTTTAAAAAAAAAAGTAGTTCAAATGGGTAGGTTTGTCAAGTTGGTTCTAAAAATTAATTCAACGGGAAGAGAAACAAAAAATTCAGAATTCCATCTGAAGAAGAGAGCAAGTTGGATATCGGCAGACTTGATTTACAACAGGCCTCTTATCGAATCCTCAGAGAATTGTTGCAAGGCTTCGTTTACGTGAAGAAACTTGGCACTCTTTATGCTTACGGTTTCGAGTTAATCACCAAGTTCAACTAGTTACGGGTGTCACATGTGAAGCAGTAGCTGCTTACCCTTCCGGAGTACCTGAGATCACCCCAAGTTTCTGGTGAGGATCGTGTTGCTCAGTCTTTAGTTTTTTATGTTGTGTTTTGTGTACTGTTGTTTGTCTTTTTCTTTTTTAGCCATGGCCTTGTCATTTTATTTTTTACTTATGAGTTTGAATGTCCCTGTGATTTATTTTGCCTTTCTTTTGCGGATAATCAAATGTACATCCAGCACACAATAACGGACAATTTTTCAGGACCTGCCAATTGTATTTAATCTTAATTTGTTTTCGTCCTGAACATGCATGACATTTTTGACACTGGACGTTAATCAACCAAAAATCAATCAAACATTGAAATGGTAAGGCCGCGAGCATCACTGAAGAAATATTTACTCTCGAAAGTCGAATCTGGTGCAGAAAATTGGTACCCTCAATGTACTTTACTATCTTTAATTAAATTAATTAATAATTAAGTTCAATAAATTAATAGTGAATTATAACTAAAAATCAATCTTACCTGGTGTAGTTCAATTTTTAGAAATACAGACAGGAAATTAATAAGACAATGGAGATATGTTGATTTTTGTAGACTTTTGTCAGATCAATGATCGGATATAACGTGATCATATTGTATAGTCATAAACACTTAAGAAATAGACGTTGATACTTTCGGAAATGATTCATAATTGTATATCGGACTTGTGATGATACCTTACTTACATATATAATGAAGTCAACAATCAAAATATATAGAAATTATTTGATTCGTTTTTCAATGATAAGTGGTGACCCTTTTTAATAAGCATAAAAAACGGTACTCTAATTACGGACATCCAGATGCATATTCGTATGATTGATTGGTGTTTCCTTTACGCCGCATGAGCGCAAAAAGGCTATATCGCGGCGAGATCTAATTCAAATATTTAACAAGTATATTTTTAAAATCAGACAAAAGGTCCTTCAATGTACTAAAAGTTAAGTCTAAATCAAAATTGTTTATATACAAATAAAATAGAACGCTAAGATAACGTGATAAAAAATAAAATCATTATAATTTTATACAGCATTTTTATATTTTATTATATATTCCAACTTCTTTTAAGAATGAAACAATATTTGTAATTGGAACACTATCAATTGATTGATTGATTGTTGTTTGCTTTACGCCGCATTAGCACAGAAAGGCTATATCGCGGCGAGAGCTAATTCGAATATTATAACAATTTAAGGTATATTTTTAAAATCAGACAAAAGGTCTTTCAATAAACTAAAATTCTAGACTAAAGCAAATTGATTATTTACAAATAAAAATCAACACTAAGATAACGTGATAAAAATTAAAATCGTTTTAAATATAATAACATTTTTATATTTTATAATATATTCCAATTTCTTTTAAGAATGAAACAATATTTGTAAATGGAATATTATTAAATAAATCATACATATTATTGACATTGAAATGCTTCTTCCGAATATCAGCAAAGGCAATACAATTGATTAAAACATGTTTAATAGTATACTTGCAGTTACAAGGTATACATTGTGGTTCTACTTCATTTTTTAAAAGATATTCGTGTGTTATTCTAGTATGACCAATACGACATCTAGAAATAACACACTGATCTTTTCTGCACATAAAATTATTGAAAGGTTTACATAAATTAGGTTTAATTTCATGTAATTTATTACCATCTTTTTTACTCCATTCATTTTTCAATATATTAAAAACATATTCTCTAATATTAGATTTAAAATCGGTATATGGTATATCACAGTTAGATAAAGGGTCACCCAGGGCATTCTTTGCCTCAAGGTCTACAGCTGTGTTTCCAAGGATTCCAACATGACTCGGCACCCATAGAAATAATATTTCTTTAAGAAGAATTTTTAAATTCCTCATTACATATAAAATTTTGAGAATTGTTGGGTTTTTAATTTTAGTATTTTGTATAGCTTGTAAGCATGAAAGTGAATCAGAACATATAATAAATTTGGATTTATCTGAAGAAGCAATAAATTTCAAAGCCAAAATTATTGCTTCTGCTTCAGCAATAAAGATCGATGCTTCAGATGGCAAACGGAGAGTTGCAGCTCTGTCCGTGAAGACAGCAGCAGATGCAACTCTGTCACCATCTTTTGATCCATCAGTATAGACAGTTGAAAAATCTGAATAATTGGCTTTGATTTCAGCATAGTGTTGCTGAATTAAAAGAGGATTTGTTTTATTTTTATTGTGTTCACGGAGATCAAATATCATTTTTGGTTTGGGAAGTTCCCATGGAGGACATTTGCAAGTTTCAACTTGAGCAACAGATTTTAAATCAAAAGAAGCTAAATGTGATTTTAAACGTATACCTAACGGAGGAATTTTATTTTCATGTTTTGCAAAAATATCTTCATAAATTGGATTAAGCTGTAGGCAGTATTATCTGAGTAGGCTTTTAGTTTGACAGCATATTGAAGTCCAAGCTTCAAACGTCTGTTAGAGAGTGAGTGCTCATCAGCCTCTACATACAGACCCTCAACTGGTGAGGTTTTAAATGCGCCAACACAGAGACGCAAACCCTGATGATGCACATCATCGAGAATCTGTATGTAGGACTTCCTTGCAGAGCCATACACTATAGAACCATAATCAAGTTTAGATCTAACTATAGATCTATATCAATTAAGTAAAATGTTGCGATCAGCACCCCAGTCGGTGCTGCCGACAACTTTTAAAATATCTAATGCTTTTAAACATTTCGATTTTAACATTTTGATATGGGGTAGAAAGGTTAACTTTTTATCGAAAACTAACCCAAGAAATTTGGTTTCATCAACCATTTTAATTGGGTTTCCGTACAAGGTGAGTTCTGGATCAAGATGCAATTTCCTTTTGTAACAAAAATGCATCCCAACCGTTTTTGAAGTGGAAAATTTAAACCCATTTTCCGAGGCCCATTTTTCAATTCTTCAAAGACATAATTGTAATTGTCGTTCGATGTTATTCATATTTTTGCCTCTGTAACATATTAAAAAATCATCATTATACAATGAACCTTCAATATTACTTTTCAAAACTTCAACAAGGCTGTTAATTTTAAGACTAAGTTATGTAACAGATAAAATACTCCCCTGAGGGACACCCATCTCTTGATCATACAGATCAGACAACGTTGAATTTACTCCAATATTAAATTGTCTGTTAGACAGAAAATTCGAAATAATATTTGGCATATTGCCTTTCAACCCCATATCAAAAAGATCTTTTAAAATACCATACTTCCATGACGTGTCTAGGGCCTTTTCAAGATCGAAAAAGACCGACATTACATGTTCATTTTTCGCAAAACCATTACGGACAAATGATTCGAATCGAACAAGATGATCAAGAGTACTGCGACCCTGTCGGAATCCACACTGGATATTGGCTAATAGCCCATTTGATTCCAGGAACCAAACAAGGCGATCATTGACCATCCGTTCTAGTGTTTAACAGACACAACTGGTAAGAGCAATTGGTCGATAATTAATAGGATCCGTGTGATCTTTACTTGGTTTTGGAATAGGTACCAGTGGCGGATACAGGATTTTGAAAAAGTGGGGGCCCACTTTTTGCAAAATGTAAAATTCAAGTACATTGAATTTGTCAAATATTTGTCGACTGGTCTGTATACTGGTAATAGAGATATTTTAAGTTAAAGTATCTCTGTTCGTCGTTGACATTAAAGACCCAATTTCAAGACGAAGAACAACAGTAGCAGCGCTGTCTTGAAGAGTGGACTGGCCTTTGCTAAGAAGTAAATAAGGATTCTGTAAAACTTAAAGATCTGATCAAAAGCAAAACAGCAGGTAAACAATATAATTTAAAACCAAATATCCGTTCCTGTAAAGGTTTCTATGAAGAATATCATTTATTTCAATGAACAACATAATAATAAAGATAATTACTTAAGACATTCGTTTTCTTATCATGCTAAGTATAATTTAGTCCACTGTACATTTCTCAAAGTTTTCAATTATTTTTATTAATATAAACCGGGCAACAAGAATCATGACTAGTCTGGTGATTGATACAGAAAAGTTCGATATTATTGTAACTGATTGTTACAAGTACAAATTTATGAACTAACAATACTGTTTAAAAAAAGACGTCTAGTTGTCATCACGGTGGTAAGTATGGTGCATTCATACGGTAAGTATGTTCCTCTGTTATACAGGTCTACACTCAATGACTTAGCGGATTCAGGAGTTTCATTCGTCGCTTATTTGCTCTGGCATACGAGTCAAGAAAGGCATTATAGTCTAACTTAATATCGCGATGAATGTTTAAAAGTAATAAACCATTCATTCTGTCCTCTCCCATTGTTGATCTTTTTCACAAGTTTTAGGGAAGAATTTCCTCGTTCTACTGTTGCTGCAGATACTGGTAAAAGAAGGAGTACACGTAGAATCATTGCAATGTTAGGATAAAATTTGGTGTTTATTATGCGTAATGTTTTTTCTATGGTATCTGGTTTGTCATCTGATTCATCCCAATCTCGCTTCCATAAGCTTACTTCACTTTTGAATGATGAACATGACGGAATGTCATCGATTAAAAACTGTTTGATTTCATCAACTTTTTCACTACTCAACAGTGTTAGGTGAGCAGGAAGCAAACAAAGAGCTAGAGTACTTGTTCTGCTGGCATGATTAAAACGGCATCCAAATTCCATAATAAGGTGATCTACGTAAGGGATGAACAGTGTCCTCATCCAGTATTGCTGAGGCGTGTCAGCTGAAACATTGTTTCTTTTTGTTTGTCGTCCACAAACTCTTGGGATTAATATTTCAGTGCCAACTAGATTTGCCATTTTGCGAGCAAATTCAAAAAAGTCGCGAAATGCTTCGTCACAAGACTCGCGAATACTTTTCAATTCATTTGTGACCACACAAACTTTTTGGAAGGCCGAAAGTACACATTAATAGCAACAATCCACTTGGAGTTCGTTATATGCATTAGCAATCCACTTGCTTTCGTAACGGACTTGGTATCCCAATTACAGTTCATGTTTCTTGAAGTGATAGCAGTTAGACGTAGTATGTCGCTCCACCCATCTGGTTTCGCATAAAGTTTTTAATTTGTAACATTTAATCAGCGTACAACCGTCTTGTTGCCGTTGATTGTTCACTGCTGTCAATGATGTTTCCAGTGTATTTTGGCGCTTTGGTGAATATTTAAAGAAGATTCCAAGTTGTTTGGTACTCGCTGTCATAATCTGCATTTCAGGTACTTTACAAGATTTTGACACTGCAAGATTAAGATCGTGGTTCATACAATAATAATACTCTGCTCTCGGGTAAAGTCTTTTTATCCGTGCCACACACCCGTTATACTTGCCACTCATATTCCCAGCTCCATCATACGACTGGGATCTGCAATTTTCCATGCTTAACCCAAGGTCTTGAATTTTTGCAAGAATATGTTCAGCAATGGATTCACCTGTTGTACTTTTGCATTCAATATATTCTATAACTTTCTCAACTGGGTTGTCACTTTCTAAATACCTTAGGACTAACTCCAACTGTTCTATGTCACTACTGACAGTTACTTCGTCCGCCTGTATACCAAACAGAGGCCCATGCGGCTGAATCTTGACCCTGGATATTATTTCGTTT